ACACCAAAATGCAGTTGTTATGACTGCAGTGAGAAAGATGTAGAAGCCCAGTGTCCAGAAGTCAGGAAATGGTAAATCCAAGATGGGAGTTCCATACAGGCTCCTTGTGATGTTTTCAATAAAAATATAATAAATATGTGTAGGAAAGTCACTTCATAGAGCTTTTTCCTACTGTTAAAGAAAATGAGCATAGAGCACAATTATCAGTTCTAGTTCTGCTCCCATGTACTGTGTACTGTGACCCATCTTTCTTCCTAAAATAATCCAGCACGCCTGAAAACACAGAATACTTTGAGTTCACAATACAGGTTTGCCGCCCCAGTSTCCCTTATATTTGTCACAGTAAAATTTATTAGATGAATGCAGGTTTTCCTGGTTGAATCTTAGTGGTTCTTCTCCTTTGTTAATTAGTTTACAATGTGCAAGTTAATTTATGGTGTACTGAACCATTCAGGCTGGAGGAATATATTCTTATGAGGAGCCACGGTAGGACCCTGAGCAATGATTGCCCAGACAGTCAGCTGTGATTGTACCACATGAAAGGAATCCAAGTAACTCACCTGGTAGTATGACCACCTCTTCACTGCCCTGACAAATCCATTTCTGTTTATTTCAAAAGATTTACAAGCATTTTCCTTCTTTCAGGCACAAACTGGCTACGCCAAATCTTAACTGACCTGATAGCTGTATCTCAAAAGAAAACACCGGGTAGTGAAAGCAGTGCRAKTGATGAAGATCTTGAAGAATTCCCCTATCTCGAAGTTGGAGACGTTGAGAAATATGAGGTGGGAACAGAATATGTATGGAAATTATCAAAATTACCTGCTTCAAATACTGAAGATACGATGTATGAACTATTCCATTATTGGATTGGAACTTTACCATTTCTCTTTATGTGGCATCTGGTCAGGATGAATCTCATCTGGACTGTCAAATACTGAAGGATAAATGAACACTTCAGTGGGAGTGAGAGGAGCACATACCCATGAATACACAGGAACTTCAGAAATTCAACAAAGCATCTTTTGTGTTTGAGAAGAGCTTCATGAAATGTCCAATAATGACATATTAGCTTTTGTCTCTTTTACTAGCTCTTCCTCTTCACCCCCTCTCTCAGTCCTTGAGACACCTCAGCTTTCATATATACCCAGTT